ATTTGTCTGCTGCTAATCCCTGCTTATCTGGGTGTTTGCTGGAGGGGTTGTGTTCTGATGGCTGATTTGCATTTTTGAATTTAGCGGATGCTGACAGTTTCCCAGGTGAAACTGTGGTTGAGCCTGTCCATGTGTTGTAAGATTAAGGACTTTTCATCATGCCATCTGACTGCTAGTTGTTCATGGATGTGCTCTGCTAGTCTTCTGCCTGTCTGGCACTACCAAGGAATTACCAAGGAGACAAACAATCAAGCAGAAAACAAACAAGGATCCCAGAACCATAAAAGTTAATCAAAGCGGTAGTGATATTAGCTATCTTTACAAGCAAAATAATAAAATACTCTTCATTGTTGTCACAATGCCCATGTTCCACAATAATTTTGGAATTGTTATTAAACAAAATAGCTACACCATGTGCCTATTTGAATATCTATAATTTTATTTATTTATATGTCAAATTTATATCACCGCCCAACTCCTCCACAAGGAGGGACTTTGGGGGGTTCACAACAGAACAATTTAAAATCAATAAAAACATAAATAATACAAATATAAAATACAAGTATTAAATACAATAAATGTAAATAATGTAGATTTTTCCAGTCTAGCTCCTGGGCCTCCAGAAAATTTGTTCCATGCATAAAATATGGGTTTCTTTTTATATACCAATATCTAAATGGTCAATTAACCAGAATGTCAGAGTTGATACAGGTAGTCCCCGGGTTAAGAACGCCCATGTTACAGACAACCCATAATTAAGAACGGAGTCTATTGTAGTAAAATTTGAGTTAAATACATAATGATTCGAGTTAATACAATGGTTAGAGTTAATTACACAATACTACTTATACAATATTATAAAATAATTCTGTTCCAGCTTACATACAAATTCAACTTAAGGATAGACCTTGGGAACAGAACCCGTTCTTAAACTGGGGACTACCTGTATATAGTGGTGCTGTGAATGCAAGATCTTAATTCCCCATTCCCCAAATCTGTATGGCTTCCTTTCTTGATGTCAGCACTCCTTGAGCATATTGAGCATGCTGGGGTGGAGACGTGGGGCAGCTGAGGGGTGCTGGACAGGCTGCTTCCTTTCTGCTGTGGCTCTTAACAGCGAGGCCCTGAAGGGCTGGCTGGGCTTGGGGTTCTTGAGCAGTCAAGCTCAGGGTTCTTGAGCAGTGAAGCATGGCTGCAGCCAATGGACATCAAGAGCCGGGGGCCTGTGTGTAAGAACTGCCTTCTTGGCCATAGCTGGCACAATTTGCAATGTTCTGTATGGACTTGGGTCACACTGCAGGTGGGGCAGGGGCAGGAAATCTGGGCCTGGATGAAAGCAGCCAGCTCTAGTTCTGCAGCAGAGCAAGTGCATCTATATTGTCTTTTCTGTGTAGAAAGCAGAGCAGAAAAGCATCAAGGGGGAAGGAGATGAACTTTGTCACGGCCCAGAAACAGCCAGCCAGTTCTTTGGTCTGACGCGGTGGTCAACATCACGAAGGGACAGAATCCTGCCTCTATCTTTGGTCTTCCTCTGGCCCCTTCAGTTAACGTGATTTCATTAGAATTCATATAGAGTGACTGGGAGATGGGAGCTAAGCCATTTGCCAAGCATGGTTTAAAAAACACCAGAGCCACCAAGCCATTGGTTTCCTTCATAATTTCAGTGTGAATTTGCAGGGGAGGAGAGCGCAGCTACAGTCGGATGTGCCCAGTTGGTTGCTGCCTGCCTTGGTGCTGCAGCCATTTCCACAGATGCCCCTTTTGCCCCCAGGCCAAAGGCTTGGTGCTTCCTGTGGGGAACGCTGATTCTCTGGCATTTCGTGCCGCAAAGGGCTGCTTACGTGTCTGTGTGACATCTCTCTTGTAGGGATCCGTTCTTGGGATATCGACCTTACTGCCTGCAACCTTGACCAGCAACTCAAGCTCTTCGTCTCCCGCCACTCTGCGACTTTTTCTGATATCGTGAAAGGTAAGGAGGTGGCGGAGAAGCTGCTCCTAGGGGCATCCTGCCAAGAAGCCTCTGGGGAGCCTGGCAGAGGCCCTTTGGAGAGCTTCTCCAGCCCTTCGGGGCTGTGACCGGGGGCACTGGTACAAAGAAGCTAAGGGGCAGGGCTTGAAAGCCTTCATTGAGACTATGTTTGGGGCCTTGCCCTTTCTGCCTGTGCATCGCCACCATGCCCCTCTCAGTCATGTGCTGCGGAAAATGTGTGTTTTAGAGTTTGGGTGTGTCCAAACCAGCTGTCGCACTTGGTGTCGGTCCGGTGCCGGCACAGGTAGAAGATGATGTGCTGTAGCTGTTCCTCTGGAGTGTTGCAAATGATACTTGATTGACTGACCTTTATTTGGTGCCTCTGTTTATGTTTCCATCGCTCTTTTTTAATAATAATTTTATTGAAAGTTTTAAAAATAATAAAAGATAATACAAACCTAATTCAGAAGAGAAGAGAAAATGAAAAGAAAAAAGAAAAAGAAAAAGAAAAGAAAGTGCAAGGAAAGAAAGAAAAGAGAAACAGATAAAAGAGAATTCAAGAAGTGACTTCCTGTCTTCATCACAGCAAGTACAGGCAAACTTAATATTGCATGCATATATCTTTTCTTCCCATAGCCCATCCTTATCCATTTGCAAACCCATAAATCATTAACATTTCAGTCCATTTGTCAGCAAAAAGTCTAAAGGGATTCCAGAACTTTATCAATTATATCTTGTTTTAACCTCAGTCAAGGAAATCAGCTTTAAATTCCTTGCTTTTGCTTCTGTCAGCCTCAGTCTTTGATCCATTCAAATGCCGTCCTAGGCTTTGATCTTCCTTCCTTCCTTTCTCCCATCTCTGAAGTTGCTTCAGTGCTTTAGCAACCCTCTTTTGTAAATCCACCAAGAAGTTGTTATCCAGGTCATTATCTTGGCTTGTCATTTGTATTTCTATTTTAACTGCCATCTCTATCTTGTAATCCACAATTTCTTTGTTTTCTAGTAAATCTGCATAAGTGTGTTTCACCTCTTCATCCTGTAGGTCTTTCCAAACATTTGCTTTGACAACTTCCCTTTCTTTTGTAAATAATACATTCATATAAGTAAACATTATTTCTGCCATTGTAGCTACCAGTCTCTGTCCCCATTCTTCAAAAGTATCTTGAAGTGACTCAAAATTCACAGCATTATCTGTCATTTTGTACAACCCAGTGCTTACTCTCAATTCAAAAACAAGAAGCAGAGTTTTTTCTTTTCCTGCCTGGAGTTTTTAGTCCCCTCTAGGGTTTAATTTCTAAAATCATAAAGGCTCAAATCTCTGTTAGTTTGATAGACCAGGCAAAATGGTATTCCCATGAAGGTATTATTTATTAATTTATTTTCTCCCCAAATCTTTCAGCAAAAGTTCTAAGGTTCCAAATTTTTCTGGCCCCTTTTATATCTTTCTTAAATTAAATTCTTATTTAGCTTTTTGCCGTTTGTTTCTATTTCTTAGTTCTTAAGCTTATAGTTAATTTTTCTTTTGTTCAGGAACAAAGGTAAACTTACCAGGTGGCTTTTCAAACTTGTTGTTTTGGAGATCTCTAATATCCTTAATATAGTTAAATAGGTAATTTCCAAAAGTGATTAGAAAGTGTGGTTAGCGAACTCAGTGTCCTTTAAAAGGCTCTGCTGCGACTGAGAGCATGATGGCTCCTTTCGTCTCCTGGTGCTCAGACATGCAGGAAACCACCATCTTGTGGCCTCCCTGCGAGGAGCTGCCGTTTGGCACACAAGTGGGCAGTCTCCCACCCTCCTTATCCAGAGAGGCTCCGTGGGAGCGGTTGTCAGGGTCAGCCCAAGAATCACCATGAGACAGTCCCGAAATCAGCTCGGCTTCTTTGTTAGCTTGCGCGTAATAGACAGAATCTCTCCGGACTAACTCTCATCCCCCAGCGACAGCAGCTATAACCATCGTGCCCTTAGGGAGAGGCCGGTCTCTTCCTCTTGACTGCCACACAGTCCGGCTGGGGGCTGAGGAGAGGCTTTCCTTGGGGTGTCTCTCCCCCTTCCCTGTAGCCTTGAAGCTCCATTCCAGGATCCTCCCCACTCGTGCCTTCCATCACACCGGTCTACTGACTGCTCCTTCGGTTTTTGCCTCAGTTGTCACCTCCACCTGATCAGAGAAGTGCTAGTTCGCCATTTCTCACCCGGAAGTATCTGGTGTTTTCATATCTCTGGTGGGAACATAGGGTGTGTGTGTGTCTGTGAGTGTGAAATCTTTTAAAACACCCTTGGATGGTTCCTTTTGCTGCCTCTCCTTGGTGCTGTTTTTTGTTCTCTTCCTTTCTTTCTTAAGGAGAGTCTTGCAGCAAATTATCTAGTCCCTCTCAGCCATGGAGCCCTGAATTACTGTGGGCCAGCCTCAGTCCAACCTACCTCTCAAGGTGGCTGTCGAGAGGAAGAAGGGAGGCAGGTGCAGAAGAAAATGTTCCATTCCTCCTGAGGACAACTGATCTGGTGGTTTTCCAAAGCAGCTCGGTGCAAAGGAAAAGCAGCATTCTGGAGGGATGCTGTGCAGCTGTATCTTGGACGATGTTTCCAGCTCACATTCCACGCAGATACTTTTTATGGGTTTGGGGCTGTTTTGTTCTGGTTCATCAAGTTAGTTTTTAGCTTCATTGCTCGATCCCCACTCCCCCTAGTTCAGGTACTGCCCTAGGATGTCCCTCTCGTCACTTCAGATAAGGTGAAATTTCATACTCTGAAAGTATGTACGAGTCCTTTCTATAGCAGCTGGCTTGGTTTATGTATGCGCATTTTCTGAGGAAAGCCTTTGGCTTTTCTGCAGCAGGCCTACTTGTCTCTCCATTAGGACTTGTTCCTTTGGGGCACCTGATCAGCAGAAAGGAGCAGATGCTGGGTCGTGCTTGTCCTCTGATCCCTTCTCCTTCGGACAGGCGGCCCGTGGATGAACGTGCCCTTCGGCTGCTCTCCATCTGCTTCGCCTTGGCCACATTCTCCTCACCCAGCAGCCAGCCAGCCCTGCATCTCCAGTGGAGCAGCCACATTGATAAGGCTGTAGGTTGGCAAAACGGAGGTTCCTTCCTCCCAGGCACCTGGGGCCAGAGCACTGTTCCCATGCTGCTGAAAGGAACGGAAATGGCAGCAATCTTGGGAATCGGCCAGCTCCCTGCTTGGTGCAGAATCTGCGCTACAGGATGTGACTATAATCCCCACAGATGGCTGTCCACCTTCCATTTAAGTACTTTCTCCCATTGCTCAAGACCAGCCTTTCTGCTGCTGGACAGTGCTTACCCTTAGGAGGCTTGCTCTAATGCTTATATGAAGTTTTTGTTTAATCTGCTCTATCTTCTAGATCAGCATTTCTCAACCTTGGCAACTTTAAGATGTGTGGACGTCAACTCCCAGAATCCCCTAGCTGGCATCTTAAAGTTACCAAGGTTAGGAAACATTGTTCTAGATTATAGCCTTAGAAATTTGAAGACTATTTTCCTGTCTTCTATTAAACTTCTCTCTTCTTCCCCAGACTTGCTTTGTCTGCCTCTTTGAATAATAATTATTGGGACTTGGTCTTCAGTCCTCATAGTGTCAGTTGCTGTCTTCCGGAGATGCTTCAGCCTATCCATGTCCTCCTTCACATGAAGGAGAGGGGGAGGAGGAGGAAGTCTATGAGCTGGGCATGATAGCGACCTCTTACTGTTTAGTAGTCCTAGTAGCTGTTTCCAAAAAAACCCACCGTCACAAAACTGATAAGCCTCTTCCCATTTATACTGAAAAAGCACAAATGATTGAACTAGAATTTTGCTGCCTTAAATTGCATATATAAATATATATAAAAGTTTCCCATTTGAAAGTAGTTTACTTGCTGGAATTCTTGTGTTGCATCCTCAATCTTCTTTCTAATAAATATTACTTACCACACTTGGTCTTTTGGATTATGTCTGCTTAATCCAATCCAGTCCAGTTTGCTGTATGAGAAGTCCGACACTTCCCTGGTTTAGAAGCCATGGGATTCAGAGAAAAGCTGCATCTGAATGAGGAAGACCTATTTAGCTATCGTGGCCTGTTGCTTCTCTCCCCATCCTGATGGTACATTCCATTAATGAATTATGGATTAGCCAAAGTACTTTGTTCTGAGTCACTTACTGATCAATTTCACTGGATAGGCTTGAATTCAAGAAAGGGAATAATACTTATTTTTCTTCCTTTATATGTTAGACAGTTTATAAACTTTTAGCATGTCCTTCTAATTAAACAAACTCTGTTTTCCAACCTTCTTTGCTAGTAATACCCTCTGAGGCATCAGCAAGAGACCATATGTTGTGATGAGCAAAACAGTTAAAATTAAACTTCCAATTTGGGTTTGAAACAGGCTACCTTGATGATTCCAGAAGGGTTTTGAACTCAATATTGAAATGGTTGTTTTGAGCTCAACAGACTTATAAAAGTATTAAAATGGTATGCCCCGAACTTGAACCAGCTGCTTCAGAGACTAATGCGAAATGTTTTGCACACCCTTCCACTTTGGGCTTTATCTGGGGGGCGAGAGTCCAAAGGGCCAGAAGCAGAGTTCCATTCCTCTCTAGGCTGAAGTGCCAAGACGCAGCAGATGCAAAGTGGTCATGCTCTCGGCCTGCACTCAGAACCATTTGACCAGATACAAGACTGGGAGAAACTCTGGTCCCACCTGAGGCTGGAATGGGAAGAGCCGCTTTCTCTCTGGCAGCTGTGGGCCTTGGCCAGTTCTGGGGGTCTTGGTGGAAAGGAGGGTCAGGCTTAGCTTTCCTTCCCTTCTGGGGGGCCGGCGTGCATAGTGGGGACAAGTTGAGTTGATCCTGGAGCCCATCCTCATCACTCCATCAGTCAGCAGGGAGTGGCCACTGTCTTGGCCCAGCTGACAGGCCCCTCTGGGTTGCGGGGTCCTTTCAACAAATCATCCGTACATCTGAGAAGTGAGTTCAGTGCTTTGTATTGGTGAATTTGCAGTAGTGACCTTGGAACAGGGATGTGCCCTGTGTGGGGAAGTTTTCCTCACCCACCCCTGAATTCTTTGCTGTGTTTAGCTTGCTCTCAGAGGTCTCCAAAATTAATTTCAATCTCCAGGTTTGACAGTGTTGGTCTACTTTAGGGTCAGGGATCTAGAATCAGTCTCCCCCGAGACAGTTAATTACAAGAAGTCCTCGCTTAGTGGCCACAATTGGGACTAGCAACTTGATTGCTAACTGGAAAATCACGTGACCACAATGTACAATTTTGTAAGTAAGTCTGTATTTTTCTGTATTAACTCTGCTTGTCGCAAGCTGGTGTGAAGCATGTGAATGGCAATCGTGTGACTTCAGGACACTGCAACAGTTGAAAATGCGAGGATTGGTTGTAAAGTTATTTTTTAGCAGTGTTGTAACTTCAAACAGTCACTGCATGAGGCAGTCAGTAAGCGAGGACTCCCTGTACTCTCTGGTGGCTCCTCGATGGGGGTTTCGCAGGATAATTTCAGAGGCTTTGGAAATAACAGTTCTAGTTTATCTCAGAGCTAATCCTGTCTTAGAGAGGTGGGGGGGAGTGCACCTTTATATACCATTTGGCCATCGGCAGGGCCACCCCCTTCCTGCCCCCCAAGCCTTGGAGATAGAAGAAGCAAAAGTGTACGGTGAAGGCTGTGGATGAGCTTGGGTGATCCATCTTCTTAGCTCTAGGTTGGAAGGAAGTGGCGTCTGGTCCCAGAACGTGGGGTAGAACCTCTTTGCCGTGCCTCTTGGCCTTCTGAAGTGGACTGTATCTGAAGGAGGAGGTTCCCTTCTAATTTGCTGCCTCTCCTATTCATGACTTTTGGATCGCTTCGTAGCCCTAACTCTCTGCTGTTACGTTTGAGGCTGGCCTGGTTGCTTGCTTGCTTGAGAGAGAGAGAGAGAGAGTGAGCGCGTGTGCCTGTGAGTTTCCATTTGTCTGCTCTCTGTGCCTCACACTGGACTGATTCTCTTGTGTCCCTTCTGCTGCAGAAAAGGGCTCACCCATGGCTGGTATTCCCCGTGCCAGCTCCAAGCACTGCTGACTCGGTTGTATTGGGTGACGGTTCTCTTCTGGCTGGAAGATGCTGTGATTGGGGTCCAGGGGCACCCCAGCTCCTGAAATCTCTGATGATTCTGTGGCTGCACTGGGGGGCTGCTGGCTTTAAGGCACTATCGGAAAGGATAAAACTGAACAGAACTTTGGTTGTCTTTTGTTAGTGGGCTTCCAGAACATGTCAGACTGGCTGCTGCTGGAAGTTCGATGCTGGGTGACCTGCTCAAAAAAAGCCAAAGTGCAGAATAGCTCTCTTCCAGCCGCTTCGCAGTTTCCCATCCAACCCTTTTCCATTTTCCTGCAGACTCAAAACATTTTGTCCCTGCTAAACAAGCCCAGCTCTTTGGAGCTTGGGAGACGCTCCATGCCTTGATCTTTTCTAAAGCTTTCTTGGGTTCCTCCCAGTCTGCTGCTCAAGTTTCTCCCTGTTAGGACAGCTCATTGAACAAGAATAAATTTGTCTTGTGGGTGCTGAAATGCTTGCTTTTCAGATGGGAGGCATTTGTGCTGTAGACTACTCTCTCCTGAGCAGTTCTGTCTCATGTCTTCCCCCCTTTTCTTCTGCCTTCTGTCCTCTGCAGGTCAGCGTGCCCTCCACCACCGTGGTGATGTTCTGGAGACATTAGTTTTGCTGAACCCTTCAGACAAATCCATCTGTGATGAGGTGAGCATGGGAGCCCAGCAGTGCAGAAATCTCAGATCTGAGGGCCACAGAATCCAGAATTGCCATCTGGGAGCAGAGTTCATTAGGACTTGAGCTGGAGGGGTGGGGCATGAAACAAGGTCCGAGCGATTCAGGGCAGCTCTTTGGCCGCCAAAGCGGAAGCAGAAAAGCTCCCCAGAAGTTGCTCTTGGGGTGTCACTCTTCCATGGGGCCATTTTCCCATGTACTGGTCTTGAACAGAAGCAGCTCTTTTTCTCTGTTGCAGGCACGTGGTAGAACTGGGACTAGAAGGCTGGGCAGAGCTGGCCCAGCCTCTCAGCCTGGCCCCTCTGGGTGTGAAGAGCGTTGCAGCCCAACCCACCTGCAAGGCTGGTGCCCTCCTCCAGCATTGCCAGTGGAACGTTTGGATTGAGGCACCCCCTCCCAATGCCTTAGAGCCACTGATCGGTACAAGCCACGACTGTGTACAGATTTGGACCAGTAAATTAAATTATAGAAACAGAATACTACTAGGCTCTCTGTCCTCTGTCTCTGGCCTGTTTTTGTTGACCGGCTGCCAAGACGAAACGGGATGCTCTGGTTCAGGCGCGTTACCAAGCTGAGGCTGGACGGATTCTCCATTTGCCTTTTCCTTACTCCCCCAATTTTTCCTTTCTCTCTCTGCCCTCTCTAGCTCCGTAACCTGATCACTGACCCTTCGCGGCACAAGCTGCTGATCTTTGCTGGGCCCTGCATAGAGGAAACGGGTGAACTCGTGCTGCAGATGGGCTCCTTCTCCTTGCGGGACTTCATCCAGATCTTTGCTGATAAAGAGGTGTGGCTCCTGCCCTCCCCTGGGCACCGGAACAGTGGAGCTGATTGGCCCAGGAATGCTGGGGGGGTCGCCTGGGCTACCGAACAGTTCCGGAACGGGAGGCTAACGGGAGGCATGTGGCACCCAGGAGGCTAGCCTGGTGATGGGCTCCTCTGCTGCTCAGTATTTCAACATTTATCTCTTGGATGACACTGTCAAACCAGAGCTTTTCAAATGTGCAGCAGGCACAAAAGCATGTGGGGCAGCTAATCCCCCAGAAGACTAAAGTAGGGCTTAAAATAACAGAATAAACAGTAGCAGAAACAAATGCTCAGTTCTTCATTTAGAAAACAGAAATCAGATTCACAAGTATAGCATGGGGGATAGATCCCTGGCATGGTGATAGTACTTGTGAAAAGATCGTGGAATTGTAGTCAGTTGCAGACTCACTTTCAGCTTCTGGTGCGAGGCAGCTGGAAAGACACACACACAATATTAGGCTGTGTCAGCACTATATAGCTTTCGAATAATTGGGGGAAGTGATGCTTCCAACTGAATTAGTCAACCAAGTATTGTGAAGTCCCACATTTTAAGGAAGTTTTGGACAAACTGGAAAACGTTTAGAAACGGGCAACAGGGAAGATCTGGGAGGTTGGAATGAAGTCCCATGAAGGCAGACGGGATATGTTGAGCCTTGGGAAGAGAAAATGGGGGTGGTGTGGGAGGAAGGACAGACGTTCCATAACAGAAGGTGATGACCTCCTCTCTGTTGCTCAGGGGGTAGGATATGGAATAATGGATTTAGGTTATGGAAAGGGCTTCCTAAGAGGAGGAGCTGCTGGGTAGTGGAACCAATAACCCAGAGAGGGAGGGGACGAGAACAGTACAGAGATCTATGATTCAGTGGAAACGCACCACAAAATGAATGTAGGGGTAAAGGGGGGAAAATAACAAGGTTCCATCTGCCCTTACAGCTCTAAATACAACCTTTGGTTTCCCCCTTCATGCACTGTATGAAAAAGGGGCACCCCAGGAATTAGACGCTGTACAGAGGTAGGTACTGTATATGTTTGGGTTTTAACTATGATGTTCCCTTCTCTTCTGACTCCTCTTCTTCCAGGTTGGGGAGTTACTCAGCTCTGCTGACCCCTCTGCCAAAACCAGCTTGACTGTAATTTGCCCAGACTTTGGGGAATGGAAGGATTCCAGACGGAGCCAGCACAACCTCTTGGATTTCATTGATCTGTACTTCAATCCTGGTTGTTTGTTGCCGGAAATGGAGGGTTTACAGGAGTTCATTGAGTACCTTTCAGAGTCCCTGGACCCCCTGTCTCCTTTTGACCTCCTGGAGCCACCAAGCACAGTTGGCTTCCTGAAACTTTCCAAGCCTTGCTGCTATATCTTCCCTGGGGGGCGAGGTGACTCTGCTTTCTTTGCAGTCAATGGCTTCAACATTTTGGTGAACGGAGGGTCCAACCCTAGGTCATCCTTCTGGAAACTGGTGCGCCACCTAGATCGTATTGACTCCATCTTGGTGACCCATGTTGGGACTGATAGTCTGCCTGGAGTGAATAGCCTGCTCCAGCGGAAGCTTGCTGAAATCGAGGAAGACCCTTCCTCCCAGAGCCCCCAAATTGATGATTGGGTGAAGAACCTCATTTCACCAGAATTGGGGGTAGTGTTCCTCAATGCATCAGAGAAGCTGAAGGACATAGAAGGGGATTCTGGAGTCTTAAAGAGTTGTGATGAGACCAGCTTGACTCTACAATACCTAGACAAATTGGGCATTAAGCCCAACCCACTTTTCAGGGAAGTTGGTCCTAAGACAGAGCCCACCATCCTCTTTCAGAAAATGGGGGTTGGGCGTCTGGAAATGTATGTGCTTAACCCAGTGAAAGGCAGCAAGGAACTAGAATTCTTGATGCAGCAGTGGTGCGGGAATGGCCACCCCAAAGGGCTAGAGTTGCCCCTACAGTGTGTGACTTCCATCTGTGCACTCCTGATTTGGCATCCTGTGAGCCCCACAGAAAAGATTGTTCGGGTCTTATTCCCAGGCTGCACACCCCAGACCAAGATTTTAGAAGGACTGGAGAAAGTCAAACATTTGGAGTTCCTCAAATACCCTGTAGTCACTCAGAAGGACATGGACTCTTTTTCCATCTCTCAAGCCAAGCAGAAGAGGACGGAGAGTCAGGAGAGCCTCAGATCAGGTTCTAGGCTAAGTCTAACAGAATCCAGCATGCCTGTTTCCAAGGAGAAGAGGGAGTCAAAGCTGGCCAATGTCAGGGACCGACCCAAGGCACCCAGTGAAACTTCAAAGGGCAGTGTTGAGGAGGAGAGATCCAAAGGGTCCCAGCTTAAGGTGGAACCCTCTACAGAGAAGACCAAACAGGATGCAAGGCCTAAACAGTTGAAGGAGAAGCCAGTGGCCAAGAAAGATGTGAAGAAGCTGGTTGTGAAGGAAGATACTACTCAAGAGAAGGACGTGGCAAAGAAAGAGGGAAAGGTGTATCTTCCCAGAAGAGAGCCGACAAAAAGAGAGGAGACCAAGAAAGATGCGAAGTCAGAGGACAAGGCATCAAAGCAGCCTATAAGAGACTTGCGGAGAACTCCAAGTGCAGAGGTGAAAAGGCCTCCAAGCAAAATGGGCAGCTTCAAAAAGACTATTCCTTCTCTGAAAAAGGACACGGACAGACCAAAGAACAAGTTGCTGAAGGAAGCCTCAAATAAGCTGCCAAGCAGCACCAAAGGAGGCCTCTTGGATGGATCTAAGCCATCATCATCAGAGAATGATATGCAGGAGAAGCTGCGTGGGTCCTCCCGACAAGCAGTAACGGCAGGAGAAGTGACTGATGAAGCCATAAGCACAACAGAGAGTGAGTTGGTGCCTTCACCGCTGGGCAGTTTGGACTGCCAAGGAAGTGGGTTGGAACCCATCCAGAATGGTTTGGGTGCAGAGGCAGGCCCAGAGAGCCCTCAACCTTTTCGGCATCTGGAAGCTAGCTCTCCTTTGAAATGGATTGGGCCCCCATCCCCACTGGTCAAGACTCCCAAGAGCGATCAGAGCATCAATTTCGAGCTGACTCCTACAGACATTCAGGCCAGGCTCAACCACTGCCCGGATACAGAGGAAGCTTGTGGCAGCTCTGAAGAAAAGACCCTTGAGATGATGTCCCCAGCCACGGCGGGTCACACTCCATCCCACCAGTCTCCCATTGAAGATGTGGCTATGGTGGAGGAGCCATTGGCCACCCTCAATCCCTGGAGGCCTGATGGCTCTGTCCCTGGTCCTCGAGCTTCACACGACAACTCCAGCTCTTCCCAGGAGAAGCACTCTGGGTGCCTCTCCCCGAGTCTCTTTCGTGATGACATCCACGATGTGTCCCCCACTCTTACCACTCCCTCACTGCCAGCTGAAGTGGGCTCCCCCCATTCCACTGAGGTGGATGAGTCGCTCTCTATCTCCTTTGAGCAACTCTTGCCGCCAGTGAGTGAGTTTCCCCAGGAAGAAGGAGAGAGGATGCAGGCTGGGGGGCTCACCCCCGATCTTGAGCCTGCACTGGGAAAAAGCGGAATGTCCCTGCCCATCCTCTCCTGCCACCCTCAGCGACTGGACGGACATGTCTTGCCCAGGTCTGGCCGCCGATCGGGCTCTCCCCATGACGTGGATCTCTGCCTGGTGTCCCCTTGTGAGTTTGAGCACCCCAAGTCTGATAGATCCCCGTCAGCCAACTTCAGTCCTCGGGACATGTCCAACAGCAGTGACTTCTCCCAAGAGCTGGCCAAGCCCTTGTCACACAGGAAGGGCCCTCGAGGCCGCCGGTCATACCCTCTAGTGGATGAGACTCCGCCGACTTCCTTCAGCGAATCGCTCCCCACCCTCTCTGACTCTGACATCCCGCCTGCTATGGAAGAGTGTCCTTCTCTCACGGCCGATGGTGGGCTGGACTCAGATGATGATCCTGAGAGCCTGGCTCAGGCCCATGATCCACTCCCAGCTGCCCTGAAAGACCCTTGCCCTCTCCCTGCCCAGCCAGGGATCTGCATGGTGGACCCAGAGAAGGAAGGTGTAGCCAAAGCCAAGCGAACCCCAACACGGGGGGGCTCTGCCCCTCCCAAAGCAGACACCCCCAAAGCTACTGCTCCAAGTCCCCGGGGAAAGCCTTCTTCAGCTAGCGCGGGGGAGAGAGCCCGCCTGCCAGCCCCTGGCAGAAGCGACCTGCCAGCATCTCGTGCCGGTGGGGATAATCGAATGCCCTTCAGTCCACGGAACGCAAGCATCAGGCCTCTTCTGGGAGCTGGAAGAACATCTCCGGCAGGTAATTTTAGAGAGCCTTCCCCTTGCCAGTTACATGGTGTCAGCCCCATCAGGTAGCCCAGGCCAGGAATCAACTCTTTGGGAAGACTAAAACCACTTTTATTGAGGTGGGCTCTAATAACAGGACCTTGCAAGTCGGACTGTGGTGCGCCTCCTCCCCTTCTTATACCCGTGTGAATTAGGGAGGTGTCTGAGTGTTTCCGCACGCTTCCTGCTTGCTTGGGACTTAAGCTGTGTTTTCCCCTCACTTTGATAACAGGTCTGGCCAGTCTTCGTCAAGGTCATCTAGACTTGGTGCTTTCTTTTTTGTCTCAGCTGTAGCTGGGAGTTACTTGTTCTCCCACAATAAGACCTCGCTCAAGGCGGTTTACGTGGGATTCTCCCATAAGCTTATCCCTACCACTGCTGGGCGAGGAGGGTTGGGCTAAAAAGGAGCAACTGGCCCAAAGTCACCACGGGGCCTCAGCGGGCTGTGCTCTCCAGTGGCTTAGCCACACTCTGGTGCTGCCGTGGGCTAGTTCCTGGTAGCCCAGTTCATGCCGACGCTGCTGTTGCCGGGCATGACCTCAGCTCGGTCCCCAGGTGAGAAAGGCTGGGAGAAGAGACCTGCTGAGGGGGAAGACCCTGGAGTCAGGATCGGGAGAGCAGTCCTCAGGGCCTTCCTCAAGGGCCAGCGAGGGCTTCTCCCACCGGCCAGGGGTGGCTAGCAGATGGCAGCCCCTGGTCCAGCCCCTCCAGGCCATCATCTGTTCTGTGGCCCTCCCCGGTAGAAGAGTGCTGCTCGGCTGGGTGTCCTCATGAGGGCAGATGCCTGAAATGGCTCAGGGAGCAAGCTGGGCAGCCAGAACCAAAGCGGGAAGGTGCGGCGGGCATCAGATGTTTCCCTAAGGAGGAACCACTCTGTTAAGGCCCCTGACACGGTCCTTCCTCTTGGGTGTTCGGCAGCCCGCGATTCTGATTGTAAAAGCAGCAGCCCAGATCTGTCTCCCAGGAGACTTCAGGCACCCAGTTTGCCCCCTTTCTTTAGGCTGGTGGTGCAGCGAGAGTCTCTGCTGCGTTTCGGAGCAACTGCACATGGCCCAGGCTAGGCAGCCCGGTCCCAGTGATCCCAGGGGTTGGGGTGGGGGGCAGAAGGGCACGGCGGATGGCCCAGAGTCCAGTTTGTGCAGCAGACAGAAGGTAGCTGCAGGAGCCTGATCCGTCGGCCGGTCCCATCTAGCGGCAGATGGCTTCTGCTCTGGCTGGGCTGTTGAAGCAGCCTGTCCTGGGGGCTGGGGGGAGAGAGGCCCGCAACCTCCCCAGGCTGGAATAATTCAGTCTTGGCACTACAGTTTTCCTGGCTTGAAGGGCAGGGAGAAAACACTTGAGGGCTGCCGCTGTCTCCTGTTTTCCTTTCTTATGCGGAATTGCTCTGTTTAGGAGAAAAACAAGTTGGAGAGGGCCGGAGGACAGGGTGGCTCAGGTTGGCTGGCAGCTCTGCTGTGCCAGGCACAGGTTCCCTCTCTGGCTGAAACTGGCGAGCAGCCGCCGGGTGTGGAGGGAGCCTTGGTCCTCTGATCTTCTGGCGGTGGGGCACCCCTGGAAGGCTTCCTGAGCTCTTGGCCAGGCCCCCTCCTGGTTCCCCGGCTGAACAGCACCTCCCTGTCCTGGCTCTTGTCTTCCAGGAGCCCGGTCCAGCCTGCTGCGCTCCCCAGTGTACCTGGAGCTGGCGTACATTCCTGGCTCCACGAGTGCCCAGAAGGTGGATGAGGACTTCTTCCGGTATGTCCGTTCCCAGTGCTATGTCATCAGCGGCGAAGACCACGTCAAGGAGAGCGTCATGAGAGGCATCCTGGATGCCCTGCTGTCGGGGAAGCAGCACTGGGCCCACGACACTCAGGTAGGACATGGGCAGAGAGCTGATGCCCACTTTGGGCTGGCTTTATGCCAGGTAGGTATCACAGAGCCCAAGCAGGAGCTTCCCTTTTGTGGCTTTGCCACGTGACTTCAGGTGATAATTCTGCTGCCAATTGAGTGTGAGGGGCACAGCTCCCTGGCAGAGCCCCTGCTTTGCACCCTGGCATTCCCAATCACCTGCCTTGGTTGAGGGAGACAATTAAATCATAAGAGTTTGAAGGGATATTGGAGATCTTGATTCCTGCTGAGTACAGGATCCACTAGATCATCTCTGGAGGATCACCATCCTGCCTGCCTGAGACCTCCAGGGAAGGAGAACTCACCACTTCACATGGCAGCCAGTTCACACAGCCAAGAAGGGGGTCCTGAGGTCCAGCCTGAACCTGTTTCCTTGTACTTTTAACTCCTTGCTCTAGTCCTGCCCTCTGGGGCAACAGAAACAAATCCACTCCCTCTCCTGTAGGGCAACCCTTCAGATATGGGAAGGGTGCTATCCTTTCTCCCCTGCCCCCCCCCATCTTCTCTTCTGCAGGCTGAATATCCCCGGGGCTTTGTTCCCCTCACAGGGCCGGATTCCCAGACTCTTCCCCATCCTGATAGCCATCCGTGGAACTCGGTCCCACTTGCCAATCTTCTTTTTGTTCTGGGGCCTTGGAATGGAAGACAGGACTCCAAAGGGGGTCTGGCCAGGGCAGCCCATGGCCTGGACTCTGTACTTCCCTTAATGCTCCCCAGGACAACACTGGCCTTTTGGGCAGCTTCATCTCACTGCTGGCTGGGTTTAAGCTGGTGGTCAGTCCAGACACCCAGGTCCCTTCCACATGTGCCATTTTCCTCCCCAAACACAGAACTTCTCCTTGTTGAATTCCTGCCCTGGAGAGGGAGCCCACACAAAGTAGAGGGGCGCCAGATGCCAAGAGCATAGCTCTGATGGATGTTTGTTTATTACTGGGTTTGGAAGGCCACCAGCTCCGTAAGACTTGGATCTCCAGCTGGGTGGAGGGCCAATAGCTTATTTGTCTCCTGAGTTACGCGGTCTGCGGTCAGAGAATGCTCCACCTCTGGGGACTAGGTGAGAGCCAGGCTTAGGGCTGAAGTAACTTTCTGGCCCCAGCAGATGGCCTGATGGTCCTGCGGTGCTGAAAGGGGATCGATTCAAATGCGTTCGAGCCACCTGCAGTCAAATTAAGCCCTAAATGAGCTTTGTTCCTCCATTTGTGACAAAGGTGGTGGATTAAAGTGAACTTCTGTATACAGAAGTTGGGCTCTGCTCGGTTGAAGGTCAGGGAGAGATCTTAAGAGGTGGCATTAAGCCTTTTCTGCTGGGTCTTTCAGGGACGAAAAGTGAGGGGGCCCTTACCGTCTGCGTCTAGAAAAGCCGCCTCCTAAAGGGAGGAGGTGGAGGGTAGCTCCTGTCCAGGGGAAGGCTGCTCGAAGCGAGATGGCTGCTGGCCGAGGGAGCAGCAGTGAGGTGAAGGTGAAGGTGACCCTTTCCCCGTCTCTCCCTTTTCCCTGCTCAGGTGACCCTCGTCCCGACCTTCGACTCGCTGGTGATGCATGAATGGTACGCAGAGACCCTGGAGCGGCAGCAGGAGCTGGGCGTCACCGTTCTCGGGAGCAATAGCACCGTGGCCATGCAGGACGAAACCTTCCCGGCGTGCAAAGTGGAGTTCTGAGCCAGGAGGGCTTTGGACCGGGAGCTGAGGCTGGGGGGGCCTTACGGTCCTCCTCTTCTCTGCGGGCTCGCTGGCTGCTGGCAAAAGAAGAGGCGTCTCCTCCCAGAGTTGGGTTTCGTGCCAGAAGAGCCCTCTGCGCTCCTGGGCTCGGGGTGGAAGGGGTGGTTCCCGAGGCGCTTTTCATGTCCCTTCAGGAAATAGCATCCACTGTTCGTCTGGTTTGTTTGCATGTTCACCGCCACAGCTTCTCCCCCAGCCAAGCCTAGGAAAGAAGGGAGGGAGAGCCATGCTCTCCTGCAAGGCAGCCGGTGAGAGGCATTGCCGTGGGCCTCCCAGCGGCCCCTGTCCTTCTCCCGTCCCTCAGCGCCCACAGCGGCTGCTGCGACCTGGGTCCCTGGGAGATGCTGCCGAGCCATCCCGTGCAAGGGAGACGGCAGCATTGCTCTCCTTAAAGCAAAACCACACAAATGATGACAGGCTGTGGGGCTGGTATGGGCCGGTATGGGCCGGAGGTGGGCGTGGTTCCTTGGCTGCCTTTCAGCGCAGGCTCCGGAGTGGGGGGCTTGGGTTTCTGTTTCTCCTCCCTTCCCGCCTTGATTTGGGGCTAAGTTGGTCACAGCTTGGAGTAGCCGTTCGTTTGTTTCCCGGAAGAGATCCAGCCGCCTGTGGCATTTTGCCTCCGCCTGGTGCCTCGTTCCTCCGAAACTTTAAGCGAGGGCGCTCGTCCACCTGGCCTGCTCCTTTCCCTCCCCTGCTTGCTGGGAGATGGCGTTCCACCAGAGCCGTGGGGCCGAAAGCCACCCGCGGTCTTCCCTGGGCACCCAGATCACGGGTGAATGCCGTTTTGGGGGATTCCGGTCTTTCTGAAGCGTGCAGGAAGCAGCTTTGGACCTGGCTCTTTCCTGGGGAGGCTGAGGGTCAGACATGCCCGTTCACAGATGGCCCCACTCTTCAGCCTCACACTCCAGATTTCTTCTACCTCTTTATGTTCAAAACCTTGGAGGGTTGGGCAGTTTTTCTGGAGGCTTAATCCACAAAGGCCGAAATCCAGCTGATGGCACCTGCTGGGCCTTTCTGCAGCTCTGGAAACAACCCCCCTCCCTTTAAAGTTGGAAGGAAAGTTGGGGGGGAAGCCCCTTGCAATGTGACACTAACTCTTTCGTTTTCTAAGGAAGGAAAATGTTTTTTTAAATGTGTTTTATATTTTTTTCTAAAAAACCACCAAAACTGTTACCATATGAAAGGTTTATAATTTATAGGATTGCTTCCTGTGTGGTGCCCAGCAAAGTTGCACATGGAAGAGGTTG